AAAAAAAAAAAGTATCCAAGAATACCCAAAAATAAATAAATAAATAAATATAACAGAAGTGGGGAAAACTTGTGTCATGGAGATGGATTTTTTTTTTCTTTTAAATCTTAACAACATCTAATATGCAATAGATTGAACATGGGTTCCTCACAATAAAGTAAGGCTAGAAACACGCACATGGGTGGCAGTATCAGCTGTCTTAATTGTATGTATGCAAACGCACACATTGATAGTCTCAGTGCTCCCCAAAAGCTGCAGGCTGAATACCCAGTCATACCTCTGCCAGGTAAACTGCATAGTCTATCTGCTGTATTCCCGAAGTACTGAAATCCCAAAGGCTGCTTCTGCCTGTGCTATTCAGCAGAACTATATTGCCAAGGCTTATGTTCAGATGTTGAAATTCATCTTTTATGGCTTTGATGTACTGTATGGTGAAAATAAAAGCTGTAAGTAAACTCATTAATCACCAACAATTTCACATACCTAAGGCTATAAAAGAGCTATTAAAAAACAGCAAAAGAAAACCAAATCCACTGCTATAGAGTCAACTGCAGCTCATTGCAACCCCATGGAACAGAGCAGAACTGCCCCATTGGGCTTTCTTGGCTGTAATCTTTAGGGAAGGGATTGCCAGGCCTTTCTTCCGTGATGCTCTGAGTGGGTCTGAACCAGCAGCCTTTAAGTTGGTAGCCGAGTGCTTAACCATTTGCGCCACCCAGCAACACAGGGTCCGATAATAACAACACATGCACTTAAATGGCATGTCTTCCTGGTCCTTTTCCTTCTACTCCTTCCCTGCCTCCTCCTCTATGCCTCATGCCAAGTACTGTGCAAGGAAGCAGGATCCAGAGCAAACTAATATTACACTGCACCCTCAAAGGGAAGAGGCTTTGTTATAACAGAGGTGTGTGAACAGCATCAGGACACTGGGGGACACCAAGACCCCAAAAAGGGGACTGGGGAGGGCATGATAGAGATGTCTTCTGAGCTAAGCATTGACAGAGACATGTTGACAGGGACAGGGCAGGCTGGCATTCCAGACCCACGTGGTAGGAAGATGAGGAGATACCATTTGGGGAACAGTGTTTAGTTATTTGGGCCAACAACCATGAGAACATGGTTGTTGACTTGGGGCTGCCCCAAGAGCCAGTCTGTAGTTCCAGTTGGCGTGTCCCAGGGTGGCCCTTCCCAACACTCTATACATCACAGTGGGAGGTCTGGTAGCATAGTGCCTAAGGCACTTGACTACAAATCAGAAGGCTGGCAGTTCAAACCCACCAGCCACTCCTCAGAAGGAAGGTTGGGCAATCTACTTCTGTAGTGATACTGTCTTGGCAACCCAAGGAGGGGTCGCTATGAGTCGGGTCCAACTCGACGGCACACAACAACAACAACATACATCACAGCACAGAGAAAACGGCACACGGCCTAATGGGGCAAGTGACTGGGCGGCCACTATTTAGGGTTTTGGTATATATTTTATTTGGAGAAGATAATAAACATAAATTTTGCCTAAAACTTTTGAATACACTTCTTCACATTAGCAAACTATGCCAACTCATAGCATAGTTTACAAAGACAGTGTTCTAAATCCTACTGTGATGAGTAGTCACTGGGGTCTTAAAAGCTAGTGAATGGCCATCTAAGGTGCAATTATTGGTCTCTCCTTGTCCAAAACAAAGAAGAGTGAAGAAAATCAAAGATGTCCAAAAGCCTGATGGACCACAGGAAGCTCAGCCTCCTTGACCCTGAGACCAGAAGAATTAGATGATGCCGGGCTAGCACTACCAACTGCCCTGAAAGGGATCACGATAGGAAGTCCTGGACAGAGTGGGAGACAAATGTGCAGCAAAACTCAACATCACAAAAAAGGCCAGGCTCACAGGTCAGATAGAGATTAGGGGATCCCCCAAGATTATGGCCCTTAGTCATCCGTCAAGCCTAGAACTGAAATCACCCCTGTGGCTCAACTTTTAGCCAAACAAGAGACAGGCCTGTAAGGTGAACAGTAACACCAGGGAGGTCTGTGCTCCTTAGATGTTCTGGTTCCCTGGTGCCGCTCTGACAATAAATATACCACAAATGGGATGGCTTGAACAAACGGCAGTTTATTCTTAAATTTAGAGACTTTAAGTCCAAGTTCAAAGTGCCAGGCTCTAGGGGCTGGGTGAAAGCCCTTCAACCTTGGGCTTCAGCTCTGCCTCTTGCTCCTGGCCCACTAAAGCTAGAGGCATTTCTTCACTTAGGCAGCTACTGGCTACTGAGGCTAACAAGCCCAAGGTCAACAAATAAAACGGCACAGTCTCGATGTTACCAAACCACATGGCAGGCCATTAATTTAAGTCCATTTTAAGTCCCAAGGTCAGCAGAGCATGGCAGGCTGCTGAACAACCACACGGCTACATGCAGGGTCCAAGCGTGCCATAAACCTAGAGACCATTCCCCAAGGCTTCTCCTTACATACAGGTAGCAGACCGCTTTTCTTAAGGCAGCTACTGAGCTGCTCACAGTAGATTCCACCATGGTGTTGATTACCAGTCTCATCATGGGGAATACTACATCCAGCTGCCCAGGCACTCAACCAGGCCTAGCCAAGTTGACACACAAACTTAATGACCACATTAGAATAACCACCATAGGAGATCAAAGAGCAGCATTTGCCCAGGAAATGTATCAACTAAAGCTCAGAAGGCAGGAAGCGATGGGAGAGAAGGACAAGTGGAATGGGGAAACACAGGAAGTGGGCAGAGAGCTGTTATGATGGGGATTGCACTCAATGTCATGAAACAGAACGTGTGTGACTTGTTGAATGGGAAACCAATTTGCTCTGTAAACTTTCACTGAAATCACAATTAAAAGAAAAGAAAACGGCCAAGTCAATGTGGCCTCACACTACCCTTGGAAGACTTCTGTGCTGCCTCAGGGGGCAGCTGAGAGGTTTGGGAAATAACCGCTTCTCCTGGTCTCCAATCCCATTCTGGAAGTCTCTAAGATGGCTCTCTAGATTCTATGTAAAGAAGAGGCTTCTGGGACAAGCCAGCAGCACCTTAGGTCACGGAAATGCTCCAGCCCTTGCTGCTGCCCTTGGCCAGTGTGGTAGTTAAGGTTATGTATCAGTGTGGCTGGGCAGCTGGATATAGTGATTCCCCACAATGAGACTAGCAATCAACTCCATGTTGGAATCTGTTGTGGGCAACTGAGTAGCTACCTCAGGGATGTGCTCTGCTTCCAGTACATGAGAAGATGCTTTGAAAAGGGTCTTGAGCTTTTTGACATGCTTGGACCCTGCATGTAGCCGAGTCTTTATCTCATTGGCCTGCTTTATTATCTGCCAGTCTTGGGACTGTTTCTGGACTTGAACTAGTGGCTTGCCATGTTGCTTGATAATCTTGGGACTGTGCCATTTTACTTGGCAATCTTAGGTTTGTCAGCTGCAGCAGCCAGCAGCTGCTTGAGTTAAAAGATGCCTCCAGCTTCAGCAGATCTGAAGCAAGAGGCAGAGCTGAAGCCCAAGGTCAAGGGGCCTTCATCCAGCCCCTAGAGCTGGCACTTTGAACCTGGATTTCTAGCCTTCAAAACTCTAAGGAAATAAATCCCTGTTTGTGAAAGTCATCCACTTGGGGTATTTCTGTTGGAGCAGCACTAGAGAACCAAAACAGCCAGTGTGCTCTGGTATTGCAATGGCCATGGTGCCTTAGGGCAAAGACTCAGGTGTGGGCCTGGGGGAAGAAGGAAACAAATTCATTCACACCGTCTGCTCTGATCCTTGATTCCAGGCTGCCTGACACTAAGGGTCTGCCAAGCTCACAGAGCCCACCCTGGATGTCCTGGGGCCAAAGCCATGCCTCTTAAGGAATGCTGCTGGGCAGACCACAGTTCTCAGTACATAATCTCTTTTTCAGGACCTGGCAGGAAAAGGGTGCTGCTGTTGGAGAACATTTGGGTACTCTGTAGCCCTTGGGTCAAATAGCACATGCTCCATGTGGACCGGCAAGAGACAGAAGGGGAGTTCCCTGGGCACTGCAGAAGCAAGTGAGAGGGACAAGAATAAGGGAGTGCTGAACCCACTCCTGTGGCTTCCAGCCAAACGAAAGACAGGAATATGAACTGAACATTTACATTAGGTAGATACGCTCCTTGGAGAGATCAATCATGGGAGAATAGAGGGGCTGTGTATGCACAGGGAGACAGCTCGGGGGTGGGGTGGGAAGGCAGAGTGCGTGGGAGGGAAGGACACAGGGAAGAGGTAACTATGGGGTGAAAGTGGGAGGGGAGCTTTTGCACTGTGGAAGATTACAGTCAATGTCGTGAGACAAAGTGCATATGAACTGCTGTGTAGAAGATGAATTTGTGAAATTTCATCCAAATCACAATACAATTTAAAAATAAAAATAAATAAAGGAGTGCTTACATGAAAGTCAAGGTGAACAGGTTTTGATGACTGACTTGGGCCATATTCAAGTCAGAGTTCAGGTTTAGGTCAGCAAGCCTCTGTGAGACCTAAGGTGGGTTTTGGTTTCAATACCTTTTCCTAAGATGGACCTCCACAGCTATCCTCCTTGGGAACCATGCTAGACTTGTTTGCCTAAGAATATGTATATTCAGCAACATAAAATCTTCCCTGTGAACTTCCCACCAACCACAACCAGTTGCCAGTCAGTCCATTCCGACTCCAGGCAAACCCATGTGTCAGAGTAGAACTGTGTTCCACAGGGATTTCAATGGCCGTGCTTTTACAAGTAGATGGCCAGGCCTTTCTTTTCAGGCATCTCTGTGTGGATTTGAACCTGCAACCTGTGAGTTAGCAGCCAAGTGTGTTAACCATGTGTACCACCCAGGACTCGGAGTGTCTACAGTGAGGCCCTTTTAAAGAATCTTGCGTATCTATGAGAAAGACTCAAGCCGTAAGACAGGCAGGGTGATGAAAACGTTTTGGAATAGAGGCAATGGTTGTCTAACCCTGTGATGAAGAAGGACATTTGGATTTAGTAGTGAAATGTCAATCCCAAGACTGGTTCTAACTACTTACTTCTTGAATATGGAGATGCGCACTGATATTGAATCGGTTCTCAAGCTGAAGTGAGGTATAAATGCCTTTGTTCGCCTTGCAGTCACTGTGGGAATAAACAGAGCAGTCATGATCAAAAACAGCAGCTGTGGCTACCTCTATTCATTGCTAAGGATGAAGACAAAGGTTAGCTGGTTTCCTGTGCTTATCCTGTCAACACATAAGTGGTTTCTGGTGTCAATGCACCAAGCAGTCAGTCAGCAGGGGGTCACAAGTCCAGCAATGCCCACCCCTCCTGACTTCTTCTCAGCTTAACTCACAGTCCCATTTCTGGAACAGATATAGAGTGGGATTGGTCAATGTGTCCTTTTAACCACCTCCTTTGTTTCCAATGCTGTTGTCAACAACTATGTTTCCAAATTGAGAAGAAATAAATTCATGGAACAAAACAGCACCTGCTAGAAAGAGGTGAGCTGCAGAGCATATTAAAAAAAACAAACTCACTGCCATAGAGTTGATTTCGACTCATAGCAACCCCCATTGGGTTTCCAAGGTGGTAAATCTTTATGGGACTAGATTGCCCAGTCTTCCTTCTGCAGAGTGGTGGGTCTGAACCACCAACTTTCTGGTTAGCAGTCAGTTGCCTTAGCCACTGTGTTACCAGAACATATATGGGATTTATTATGAGATCTGATCAAGCCCCAGAACAGACCATTTCCCCTCCATATTTCCAAGCTGAGCTTGACTTACTCTGTGGACAGCCAGAGGGCCTGATGGCTGAGGATGGGGATAAGGAGGTGGCCACTGATATCCAGACGGTCAGTGCACTGCAGCTACAAAACTAACTCAGTCAGCTAAGTGGTCTGGGTGAAACGGCCCCGCTTCTCTGTGCTCCGGTTCTTAAGGACTGAATTGTGACCCCAAAAAGGTATGCTGAAGCCCCTAAGCCCTGCGCCAGTGAACGGCCTTGTTGGGAGAAAAGGGGCTTTTCCCTGTAGATGTGACCAAGTAGTCAATGAGCCATACCAAGTGGGGTGGGTCCTCAACCCTTCTCAGGGGCTCGAAGACTGACACAGAGAGAGAAGTACACAATAGGAGGAAAACTGTCTTCAAGCCAAGGAACAGCAGCCAGCTCCTGGGGCGACAGAAGTTCCGAGGCAATCTGCTTCTGTAAAGTTGACAGCCTAGGAAACCCTATGGGGCAGTTCTACTCTGTCCTATAGGGTCACTATGAGTCTGAATCAACGTGACGGCAAAAAAACAGCACAACAGGCTTCCAGCCAAATAAAAGACCGGCATATGGGCTGAACATTTACATCAGGTAGATACACTCCTTGGAGGGATCCATCGTGGGAGAACAGAAGGGCTGTGCATGCACAGGGACACTGCTCAGGAGGCAGGAGTGTGCGGGAGGGAAGGACATAGGGAAGAGGCAACTATGGCGAGGAAGTGCGAAGAGAGCTGTTACACTGTGGGAAATTGCAGTCAGTATCATGAGATGAAATGTATATGAACTGCTGTACGGAAAATGAAATTGGTCTGTAAACATTCACCCAAATCACAATAAAAATTAAAAAAAAAAAAAACAGTACAATAATCTTTTATTTGGGGTTAAGTGGGTCTTGGGAAGTCCCTCAGTGGTGTGCATGGTCAAGTGCTCGATTACTAACTGAGAAGTTGGCGGTTTCAGCCTACCCAGAGGCACGTTGGCAGGAATGGCTGGCAGTCGGCTTCCAGGAGGTCAGTCATGAAAACCCTGTGGGGCCTGGTTCTACTCTAACGTGGTCACCAGGAGTCGGGAAAGGCTCAGAGGAAACTGGATTTTGTTTTTGTTCTATCAGCTGAAGCTTCACCAAGAGTTTTCCACAGGGTCCTGCTAATCCGTTTTAGGATCACTGTAACCGGTATGTTCTAGTCATGACCTGAGTCATCACTGTCCCACAGCCTGGCAGGCTTTCAGGACAAGGATTCCCATTTGGTTTCAATTCCGTTACATCCTTTCCTTTAGCTCTTCGCTGCGACTGAAGGACAGCCTCATTCTGAAACTGAAAATCTCCCCACCAAGGTTAAAAACCACTGTCAAAAGCAAAATTCCTATTCTGGAAAAAAAACACGGCAAGTAGCAAAACACATCATGTAAGTTTTCATACCTGTAAACTTTTTCAAAAGTGAGGCTGATGTATGGTTTCTGAAACAGCAGGCCAGAGAGATAATATTTCCATTCCTCATTTAGTAAATATGGTGTGTCCAAAATCTAGAACAAATTAAAAAGTGGTGTTTTTCTCTTTAAAGACAAGCAAAGGCAATACACAATGGGGGGGGGGGAGGTGGGCATGAAATGACAAAGGCAGCAGAAGACACTGGAGGGACACGAGAGTTAGAAGCATCAAAGGTAAATGCTATCACATGCCCAGTTCTTCAGTAACAGTAATACAAGAATCTACCAGTGGACACAGAGACACTCAACCTAAACAGGGGTGGGAAGGCAAATGGGATAACACCCACAAATCTATAAGGTTTGATGGGGTATTTATATGTGCTGCAAATATATCCGTGAATAGAGTTGAGCACACAGGAGGCAAAGTTATGAAACCTTCCTAGCCAAAAAAAAAAAAAGAAAAATTGACTGCTAACCAGAAGGCTGGAGGTTCAAACCCACCAGCCACTCCTCAGAAGGCAGACTGGGCAATCTACTTCCATAGAGATATTGCCTCAGAAACCCAAGGGGGGGTGACTGTGAGTTGGAACTGACTCGACAGCAGTAAGTTGCTTTTTTTTTTTTTTTTAAAAAAAAAAAAAAAACATACCAGAAACGAAACCCACTGCTTTCGAATTGACTCTGACTCATAGTGACCCCCATAGAGTTTCCAAGGCTGTAAATCTTTATGGAAATAGATTGCCTCCCTTCCTCCCACAGAGCAGCTGATAAGTTTGAACTGCCGACCTTCTGGTTAGCAGCCAAATGCTTCACTCACTGCACCACCAGACCTCCTATACTAACATATATACACATAAAAAAATATTCTGTTGAGTATGGTTTTGAGATGTTTTTTCACATCACAGTTTTTTCTCGTTGCTTTCAACTTCAAAATAGAAAATATGAATGAGATTGGAATGAGTCAATGGACCAATACCAACAGGAATTACAGGGCATTGTGAGAACCTTTTATTTAAGTAAAACAAGCACATGAGACATGGGAGAATGGGCCAATTCCACTGCGCACAGCTAACAGAAGGGCAGGAGGCAGTGGACCACTTCTCCCAGACAATGGATGGAAACTCTCCACACTCTCACTGAAGGCTGCACGGGAAAGTGTGAGAGCTGGAATTCACTGGGGCTGCCTTGCTTTTCCGGGTCTCATGAGTTTTCTGCCTTTGACAGAATGCCTCTTACCACTTTTCTATGTCTCTCTGTGAGTGGAAAATAGTTGAGTTTTCCTTCTCTGACAGGTTTCTGCCTTACACAGGTTCCAGCTTCTGCAGGTTTTACTGTATACAGGTAATGCATGAATTACGCACGACTACATATGTGCATGGAACGTGCAGACAGTTTCCAACTGTCCTCTGCTTTTTCTGCAGCACTTTCCAACAATTCAACACCGGGCGGAAGATAAGGAGGCCTGGCCGTCATTACAGAGCGTTCTGCAACATTTGCATTTATGTTACAGGATTATTTTTAGCACACTAATTTTATACATTAATATTGTAACACATGATTATTGTTTGTCAAGAGGGCACATGGAGAAATCGGGCTAATGGATGCTCTCAATTTAATAGTCCTCAACCAACTCAATAGCTAAAATACCATGACAACCACTGGATACCTTCATAGTCATTCACATGAAGGCAGAACAGATTTGAGGTGGGCAAGCAGATATGATTTTAAAAAAAAAAGGACAACAGAAATAGAGTTAAAAATCAGAATCTGGAGACAACCACTGGACAGATAGACACACAGACCAGAACTTCCTCATTCAGGCCAGCAGGTCAGCTAGACTCAGTGGTAGTGGTTTTGAGAGGGTGAAAGGGTAGACTGAACTGAATTCCTGCCTGCCCCATCAGTGACCACCAGGATGACCCTCTGCCATGGGACATGAGCTTCACCAACCTCTTTCCACTTCACATTGAGAGCTCCAAATCACCTCTGTGGCCACTGTCACCACCCAGGAAACTCTCAGAAAATTCCTGGCATGTTTTCGAGGGACCTGGGAGCCTGTCTTCTGATTTCTCAATCACTTTTAGGAAATGCTGCTTAGGAGAATTTTATTGTGCCAAAATATTATAAGCTTCCTGGATGAGCAGGCCTTAATTCTTGGTACTGAATTTCTTTACAGCCAGAAACTAAGAACACTACCTTTTATTGATTCCTCTCACAAATTAAAGAATCCCGTCTTGGTGAATTTAAAGAAAACTGCTCAGTTTAATTAGACGGCTTAATATATTTGAGATGTCAGTACAACCCAAAGAAATCTATATATTTAATGTCATCTCCATCAAAATCCCAGCAGCCTTCTTGACAAAAATGGAAAAGCCAATTGTCAAATTTATATGGAAGAGCCAGGGATCCCAAAGAGCTAAAGCAATCTTAAAAAAGAAGAAGAAAAAACTAAGAGGACTCAGATACTTCCTGATTTCAAAACATACTATAAAGCTAAGTAATTAAAATAGCCTGGTACTAGTATAATAATAGACATACAGAGCAACAGAATAGAATTGGAAGCCCAGAAATAAATCCATACTTTTTCTATGGTCAATTGGTTTTCAACAAGGGTGCTG